GAGGCCGAGCTGGCCCTCGCCAGGCGCGACGTGGACGCCGTCAACGCCGCGCGGCGGCAGCGCCAGGCCGACGTCGCCGCCGAGATGGCCGGCCTCGAGGAGGCCTGGAGGACCGGCGTCGGCAGGGTCCTCGAGACGGAGATCGCGGCCCGGGAGCTGAGGCGTCAGATACGCGACGAGCTGAGGACCAGGGCCCGGCCGTCCGTAGGGTAGGGGAGGTGTCGTCGTGCTGGCCGTGCCCCCTCCTCGTCATTTGGTGGCCCAAAAAAAAAAAAAAAAGAATGGCGGAGGAACCGTTGGCAACAAAGGAACCCGTGGTTTGCTATTTCGAAACTTGGTCGATCTCATCAGGCAATCAGGCAATCAGGCAAGAAAGGGGTGAATCAATGGGACGGGATACACGCGCACTGGGATGAGCTATTTGGTGGCTCAAATAGCTTGAGCATTAAATGGCGCGGCTGACCTTGTCGGGCATACATTTCTGCGAATTAATAGCTTTGATTGCCGTCATCTGAGTAACCCAACCTTTGCTCATCTCACGGGAACATCATCTAGACCGCAGCGTACAGATGGACAGGGAGTATTGGCGTTTCTTTCATTATTGTCATTGTTATTATTCTTGCCATGGCATCAACAAGTACTCCTCTTCTCCGCATTCATGGGAGTGGTCTGCGAACAATCAAACATTCCAATGTACACACATCTCCACGCCACTCAGACTATTGTGGCTTACTTGCAGCTTGTAAACCAGCACCAAATCGTCACGGCGCAGTACTACTCCCTTTTCATCGGCCCAGTAGTCATAATTCACTATCAAACAAGGTATCTATCTGTTCATGTAGCCATGTCTCTTCCTTCCTTTAGGAAACGAGGTAAAAGGTGTGTATACCTCTCCCCAAAAACAGTAAAACGCCAGCCCCAAACTTGCCTCTTGCCACCTAGCCAAACCTTGGTCGAGCCAATTTTACCGCCTTACAACCTATGGCCAAATCCTTGGCTGTCCACGGCATCGGGTCCATACGGCACCAGCCGAAACTTGAGAGCAGTGCCCTATCCACGGTGCAGAGGGTCCATTTCTTCGACTCCAGTGTCGACGCCTTGGTACTTGGTATGGCGCAGTATTCCCTCCAAAGGACCCAAAAGTCTCTGGAAAGCATGCTTGCCAAGCGTTGCCACCTTCACCTCGGTTGAAGCCACGACGCTGGCAGCTCGAGGCTTGTCATTGAGCAGGGCCAGTTCGCCGAAAAAATCTCCCTTCTTATAATGCAGCACCTTGTTGCTTTGATCACCCTTGAACGCGTCGGCCTCGCCACTCTCTAGCAGGAAGAATGCATGACCTTGGTCACCCTCCCTAATGATGACGTCGCCGGGGCCATATTTTTTGGTTTCGAGAGCATCAGCAATCTTGGATCGTTCATACGGCGTAAGCGATTGCAGGACCGGAACCTCCTCCAGAAAGGTCTCGTACATTCGCCTCCGGGCAAAGGTCGACTCCATTAGGATGCGGCGGAACGTGATGCGATCCAAGGCCCATAGCGTGCAGTTGGGTTCAACGGAGATGACTGTGGCAGCGCGTGGGGCGTTATACATGAGCGCGAGTTCACCAAATGATCCTCCGGCTTGGATATTTCCAACGTTCTCGCCCAAGCCGTCTGGTCCAGGCTGGATGGTTCCACTGGGGTTGACGTAGACATCAAACGAACCCCTCTCCACGACGTAGAAGAAGTCACCAGCATCGCCTTGACTAATGATCTGTCAAATGTCAGCGTCTCGTCTGGCACAGTGCCCCTGGCATTGCGGCTCACCTTGATGCCCTTGGCAGGAATAGGCTTCTCAATCAATGCGCCAAGGATCTGGGCCGTCTGCTCTTCGTCGAGGTGGCTGAACAAGAAGTTACCTTCGATAGCCTTTTTGAGACGCTCGAGCTGGTCGGCAGTCTTTTCGTGAAAGGGGGGCGACCAGTTGTCATAGCTGTCTGCGCTGGGCTTTAGCGATTCCGCCGACACCGACGTGCGGCGAGCAAAGTTATATTGGGCAGGGTAACTGTCTGGGTGTGGAGGGACTCGGACGGTTGGAGGTGTATCTGCGCTGGCGTCACCGCCAAAGGTTCCACGAAAGGCCATGCCAGCACCTGAACCAAACGCTGTGTTTGGGTTTCTGCCATGATCATTCTCGTCCTCCTCAGCCAAACTGTGCATGACATTCTGCGACCGATCGTTGCCAAACGGGTTTGCGTTGGGCGCAAATGGGCTCGAAAAGGGAACGGACATAATGGCTATGGTGGATGCTGAAGGGAGTAGGGGATCGAGCGTGATTCTTCGGGCCTTGGTAGAAGAGCTATTGGGAAAGCCAAGTTCGAGTCAAGTTTTATTTGTCGGTCGGCGATATCGATGGCCTGTTGGGATTCTGGTCAATTCCTGGGGTATAAATTTCACAAATCAGTCTTGGCTGCGCATCAAGCTGTGGCAGCACGGACGTCTAGTGCCGACAGCGCGAGCAGGGAAGAAGAGGAGAGGACAGCAGACCAACACCAACCTTGATATCTAGGACGACCTAGATGAACAAACCAGTATCGGCCAAATACGATGCGCAAAGACCTGCAACATAGCAATGCGTTAGCACAACGGCAGGGCTTCTTGAACCACGTTGAATAGATGGAGACAATTGGAGACGGTGCGACTACTAGGGGCTGACAACGCCGAGCAAGCTTTCGGAGCTAGTACAAGGCCTTGGCAGTACACTTGCAGAGTCATGGCCTTGAGGCTCCAGTCGCAACAAAACGTCATTGCGGTACCTGACGGGACGAAGCTGGCGTCCCAGTGCCGTCCATGATGGGAAGACGGGGACAGCCATCAACTCACCTTGGGGAAAATGAACCAGCTGTGACCGTCCAGACGGAGGAATCCTGGGAAAAATCCAAGCCAAGCCGGGGACGAGAGGAATAAGGAGCTAGGGGGGAACGGAGCAGAGACGGGAGAAGAAAGAAGAGGAGGGTCAACCGCCCGTTGCAGTTTCCACTAGAGCCTCGGGGAGAGACAGGGCCCAGCCGTTGCCGTTGTTGCTGTGCAGGACGATGGCGACTACTCAAGCAGTCGACACTGGCCGGATGAGATGGGATGGGATTGGGAGATGAGCAATGAGCGATGAGCGATCGGAGGGGCTCGAGCTTGGAAGTTGAGTGTGAGAAGGAGATGCCAAGCAAGACGCAAGGCAACGGCGACGGGAAAAAAAGGGGAAAAAATTTTGTAGAAAGAAAAATCAAAAGAAATCAAGCCTTTCGTCTCAAAACGGGCTTCTTGTCCGGGGAGGGGGGTCCTCAACGTCGGAAAGTCCAAAGGTCGGGTTGAAACAGTGAGGGGCCAGGTTGCGGGTTGATGTATGAGCGACGAAGAATCAAGACGTGCAGAAGAAGCAGGAAAAGAAGAGACAATGTCTCAAGTGCTCCGAGTGGAGACGACTGACTGCCTCCTAGGTACGGAGTACCTGGCCTGGGTATTGGCAGCTGGCAGCTGGCAGCTGGCAACTGGCAACTGGCAACCGGCAACTGGGCACGGGCAACCGGCGCTGGGAAGCAGGAGCGGCAGAGGCAGAGGTAGAGGTGGTGTCCATCTAAAATGTTCCGGAAAGGGCGCGCCACCAACGCCAGCCAACCCGGCCTTTGGAGAAGCTTGGCTTGGGTGTTCGAGCTCGCACTTGGGAGGAGGGGTCGGCGAGGAGGGTGGCGGGGGGAGTGTGAAGCACTCGAGGAGGGGCTCCGAGGGCAGGCAGGACAAGGACAGGACGGGCAGGACCAGCAAGATTCGGGAGTCAGTCAGAAGAGGCTCGCAGCGAAGCTTTCTAGAACGGCGCACGGACCACCCGTCCCGCGCCCCCACTCCACTGCGTCGATGCAGCAGGCAAGAGCTCCCCCCCGGTCAAGCTCAAGCGGGCTGCGGGCTGCGGGCTGGCCGTCGACGACGAGCTGTTGACCGGGCTCGGGCGTTGGCCAAGGACGGATCTGGAAGTCTGGAGTCTGGACATGTAAAGCTCCTGCCTTGGGACGCGCGTGCAGGTGTCATGCCGCCTCGCATTGGACGCTTCAACTGACTCTTGGGCACGCGGTGACGTGTCAACTGGCCGTCCGGGTTTGAAAGAAATCGACCGACACGAAATGGATGGACACAGGGATGCTTGTGGCCGGCGGCGTCGGCACGCTCATCGCTTCTTTTCCTGCCGTCCCTTCTGCCCGCCGTTCCTCAGAGCGCCGCCACGCACGCACGTGTCGGGACGTCGTGTGCGTCGTCCGTTGACACACGCGTCCGCCATCATGGCACGGTGACGAGCACGGTGACGTCTGCTGGCGATAGTGAGCGGGCGATATAGTTGGGGCCGACCCCCGGCTCTTTCGTCTTGAGTCTTGACAAGCTCCCACGGGGCCATGCGGTCAGTTGACCGGGTGGAGTTGAGAGGGCCGGCAAACGCAATGCTCTTTCTGCCATCGCTCATGCCCGTCAACACATCTCAGGAATGCAAGCCCTCGTACTCTCCTTGCCCGTCCTCTGTCCTGAGACGCGCCCTCATCAACGAACCAGCTATGTCAAGACAAGGTGAAGCAGCGTTTAGTCGATATCGACTTGGCGTGGGCGTTACCCAGCCGCGATAGTGGTCCACCACGGTAACTCCCATTGATGGGTACTAGACATGTATTTTCCAACGGTAACGACGCGAAGTCGCGGAGCCAACTCTACGGCGATGTGACCGAGAAAGAAGAGCGGGCGGGCATCGTCCCTGTAGAAACTGAACTGCGTCTTGAGAGTGCCGGAGAGAGCAGCCATGTGACAACAGCGCAGGTCTATTTGCCTCGAAATTCTAAGTAGCTTGTCTGGACATCGGCCGGCCCTGACGGCGGCTCGCCAGCTCCGAGGCACCACTTTGCTGTACGCAGTTCCATCCGCGGTAAAGCACCAGCTGGCTCTCATGGAGCGAGCCGCCGTCCGGGGCGCCTCACGGGTATCGTCCCATACAAATACAAGCAATCCAGCACCTCCTCTCCTCTTACACCATTTGCTCCGCGACGCCAGATCAAGATCCCTCCTACCTGTTTATGACTGGAAGAAGCCAAGCCAGGCCAAGCCGACCAAGATGGATAAAAAAAAGCCCATGAAAATTGGACATCAGACAGCAACACTGCACTAGACAACATAGGTGGGGAAAATGAAACCAACAAGGGAAAAAAAAAAGAAGCACCGGGTATGACGTCCGTCCGCAATGCGCCAAAGTCAATGATGCTGATGCCCAGGTCATTCTACACGACCTCCCATTACCCAATGTACTCTGCGACGTTAGCTCAATGCTTGAAAAACGCTCAAATTTTTCAGTCCGACTTGAACTGGTATGCTGGTGTAGGCTCTTCCTTCTTCACTTCTGACACGGGCGATTCCATTTCGTCGTGCTTGTGTACCTTCACTGCCGTGACGTCAAACTGTCATCCCACGGCAAGACAGGAGTCCAGGATGCCATCTAGCATATCCGTATCGTTGGTGTCAGCTCCATCCCACCACGTTTCCTGGTCCACATCCATAGCGTCTGCGTATCCGTTGACGGCATGGCTGGCATCATAGCCATCTATAACTTCCTCCACCACTGGGGGTTCGTGGTAATACCACGTATAGTCCTCCCAGTGTTCAAGCTCACCTTCGCGGTACCCGAAAATGACCTGCGTCAAGAGGGCAGGGAACTGAGCCATGCCTGCATCCGCTATTTCGAGTGTCAGTCTCAGGTCAGCCGTGCCGAGCGGGCCGCGTTCGCTGGCAGCTTTGGCTTCGACGGGAAGTAGGCCGCCTTTATCCCGCGTGATCTCGCCGCGGAGAGCTGCATCTTCCTCCTGACGCAGCTGTTTCTTGTACTTGTGTGTTTGAATGCACGTCGTGCCGATGCCGCAGCTCGCGTTGCCAGAGTCACCAGGACCGTTGCTACGCGTGCGACTGAATATCTGCGTCAACACCTCTTTGATGAAGGTTTCGGTGGCCACGGAGACGAGTTGCGGCGCGTCCGTTGCGTGGCCACTGGGAAGTCCCGCCTCGTAGCAGAGTGGTAACATGCGCCCCGTCACGACGCCGACATCTGGAAACTCGCCAGACTCAACCGCCAACGGCTGTGCAAATCGTTTTCTGATTTCCAAGTCAAAGTCTACCAGAGGGTCAAAAAATCTTACATCCACGAGCTGGCACGGCACGAAAACTCACTCATATTGTTAATTCCAGTTGCCGTGCTTGGGACGGCCTCGACCGATGTTGATGGTTTACGGAGTGTCTCTGTAAAGAGGTTTGATAGGCTATCGTGTGGGTCATACTGAAGAGGCATGTGAGCGTAAGAAATCAAAGGAGTGGGCGGCAGACGGCACATACATCGTTCTGGGCCAGGTCTTTTATGCGCCTGCGATCTCGAGGTGGTAGTTGCATCACCTCGCCCTTCAACCTTCTTTCGGCGGCATCACCCGTGACGGGCTTACTGCCGGCGCCGGGCATGGGCTTGTCGTTTGCGCTGACCCAAGGCGCCAGGCCCTGGTCGGGCATTTCTCGTGTGACATTGCCGAGAATACCGGCGATGAGTTGGTTGTGAAGATGGTCCTTCTCGCCATTGCTGTCGGCGAGGATGACATCTATTCGTTCCGAGTATTCGGCCTGACTGAGGCGGCCTTGGGCAATGTAAGCGACAGATGCCGCGGCACAGTTTCGAGGCATGGGCATCCCTTACCGATCAAGAACTCGGCCGTCGACTCCTTATAGACCAGCCATTTCTCGCCGCCAATGGCGCCCTTGAGCGCGGAGTACAGCGGCTCCAGGTCAATGCGGGCGGGGATGATCTGGCTGGTCTTGACAGGCTTTCCCGAGCCAGGCGCAGTGATGGACAGAGTCTTGTTGGATAGAGTCGGGGTCGACAGGCTGACGGTCGGACGGCTCAAAGCCGCGGGGTCGATGTCCGGCATGGTGGAGGACGGGGTTGTGGAGGCAGGATCACGGTCGATGTCCTCAACTTCGCGGGCGGCGAGACTGCAACGCGCGACGCGGAGAACGGGTCGTGAGTTGCATCAATCGAATGCGGAGAGGTATGCGATCGCGGGTCCAGAGTCACCTTGATGGCCATACCATGTTGAGGGTGCAAAGCCGATGGCGGTTGACGGGCAGGTCGAGGTGTGAGGGAAGTCCAAACACCGACTTTGCTGCACTCAGAGAGCAAGGCGCCGACGCCGATGCCGACAACGCCGGGGTGTTCAATGTCGCGAGTACTTGAGCGCAGCGGGGGGACACTCTCACCTGGCGGTACCTCGTACTGGAGGGGCCCCCAAGCCGCCTAGCGCTAGTCGCAGCGGTGCTCCAGCCAGTTGCCAGTTGGCCATGGATGGGCCACTCAAGTACTCAAGTACTGCTCAAGTACTTGCCCGGCGTGCTCCTCCCCCACTGAGGGCGTCCTCCGTCCCAGGTCGCGTCCAGCGCGTCACCAGAAGAGGCTCAAAATGTCCCCACTGCCAGCCTTTTGACTCTTGAGAGCTCGGCCTGCCGAAGCAGTTTGCATTTGCATCGAGGCCTTCAGTCGAGCATCAGCACGCTCAAACAGTTGAATGCTCGTGCGGCCATGCGGCCATGGCGTCGGAACGCATCATCGGGGCGCTCGAGCACCTCATAGCTCACATCGTCCCCAACGACCCCAACCATGACGCAGAGACTGCCCAGCGTCGTCAGGAAGCCATCTTGAAGAATGCGACATCCATCATTGACAGGTACCCTGCTTCCTCCGCTCCCGCCGCCCGTAAAGCTGACTCCCCATCCCACGACGCCATGTTGACGCCCTCGCAGTCCCTCAGGACCATCCATTTCCGCCGACGTAAACCATGCCTCAGACCTCATCAAGAGGAGGCTCATCCAGACAAACCCCAGTCTGGCATTGACATTTTCAAACCTCTACTCGCGACTCCTCGCACTGCCCGTGCTCGACAACAAATGGGCCATCCTGTATCTCCTCTACCAACTCGCCGACTCGCCAGACCCAAACGAACCTCTACCTCTCAGCCCCATCAAACCATCCGCGCCAAATTACCGAGAAGCGGTCCACAGAGACGCCGTCAAAAGACAAGTCCGAGACCGGGGCAAGTCCGCAACCCCGGTCCCCAAGGGGGAAGAAGACCAGTTTCGAGAGGCCTTCCATCCCGAGGGGCTGAGGCATGTCCCCGGCCCGAAACCAGCAGCCAACGCCGGAAAAGAACACCCAAGGAGGGCCGTCTCCTTGCAATCGACCTTGCTTGCCAACAACTACACGCAACTTGACCCTCCCGAGGCCGACATCCTGCGAGATCTCCCCTTCACCCTCCAGGGACTATCGTCAACGACGCTTCCGTTTTCCAAGCCAGAAACGCTCAAGTTGCCCCCTACCGTTCCATTACCTCTTGTGTCCATTCTTCATACCCTGGCCGAGCCCTCCCTCCTCTACCGAGGTCTCGACGAGTACTGCAAAACTCCAGCCCGGGGCCTGCTGGGGCAAAGTTTGCGCTCCGCCATTGGCAGCCAGCTCCGATCCTACCTCAGCCTCGTAGCCGCTCTAGAAGGCCAGATCCGACGTGCGCTCCTGTCACTTGACCAAGACGCACCCCGGGGCGGCATCGGAAAAGCCGGCGTCACGTTGAAAAGATGCGTGGTGTGGACGCGGGAGGCTACAATGGGCCTGCGGCTCATGAGCGTCATGGCCAAGGAGTCGGAGAACAAAACTGGCGGCCAACTCATCTCTCTCATCCACAGTTTCTCCTCATCACATGGCGAACCCACGGTTGCCGCGTTCGCAGAGAGGCTGCTGGGCAGCTTCACGAAACCGTTTTACGATATATTGCGTCACTGGATCTACGATGGAGAACTGTCAGATCCGTACCAGGAGTTCTTCGTCCAGGAGCAGAACAAACCCGCCGACGTCGCCCACCTGAAAGGAGCCGGCAACGTCTGGACGGACAAGTACGAGATTCACCAGAGCATGGTCCCGAGCATCATCACCCAAGATTTCGCCCAAAAGGTGTTTCTAATCGGCAAGTCTCTCAACTTTATCCGCCACAGCTGCGGAGACTCGGCATGGGTCGAGGGATACTCCAAGGCAGCGTCGAAGGAACTTGGATACGGCGACACGGCAACGCTGGAAGCCTGGATCGACGAGGCATACAAGACCACCATGAAGCGCCTCATGGATCTCATGTCCAGCAAATTCCACCTCTTTGAGCACCTGCAAGCCCTCAAGAACTACATCCTCCTCGGCCAGGGCGATTTCATAGCTCTCCTCATGGAGTCCCTCGCCACAAACCTAGATTTGCCCGTCAGCGCCCAGTACCGACATACCCTCACGGCCCAACTGGAACACGCCATCCGCGGGTCCAACGCGCAGTACGACTCCCCCGAGGTCCTCCGCCGGCTCGACGCGAGGGTGCTCCAGCTCTCCGAGAACGACACGGGATGGGACTGCTTCACGCTGGAATACAAAATCGACGCCCCCGTCGACGTTGTCGTGACCCAGCGGGGCAGTCGCCAGTACCTCAAAGTCTTCAACTACCTCTGGCGCATCAAACGTGTCGAGTTCGCCCTCCTCACCACGTGGCGCCGGTGCATGACGGGCGCGCGCGGCGTCCTGCAGAACTCGGACCCCGTCGTCTCCCAGACGTGGAAGTCCACGCGCGGTACGCTCGCCGAGATGACGCACTTTGTCGGCCAGCTCCAGTACTACATCCTCTTCGAGGTCATCGAATCATCGTGGGACGAGCTCCAGAAGCGCATCCGCAAGGAGGGCTGCACTCTGGATGACCTCATCAACGCCCACCAGCGGTACCTCACGGATATCACGCACAAAGGTCTGCTCGGCGCAAAGCGCCAAAGCCACGGCTCGGAAGACGATGGCGGCGAGTCTTCGTACCGCGGACAACTCAGCCTCCTGCTCGAGCTCATGCTGGACTACCGAAAGTCGGTTGATGGCCTCTATAGCTGGAGCGTCTCCGACTTTACGCGCCGCCAGGAGGCAGACGTGCGCACGTCCATGCGATCCGACGTGGATGACACCATCGGCGGCCGCAGGGACGTGCTGTCCGAGTTTCCTGAGCTGAGAAGAAGACTGCAGCAGCTGGGGGCCTCCTTCAGGAGCAGGTTGCAGATTCTACTGGGTGATTTGGCGTACCAGCCCGACGTGGACATGAGGTTTTTGGGAGTGGCCATGAACTTTAATGATGTGTATCAGCCGACGAGGAGGAAGACGAGGACGGCGCCTGCTGCTGCTTCGGCGAACACCTCCAAGGCGTGAGTGAGGGCTTGGATGTTTTTTTTTTTTTTTTTCCTTTGCAAGGATGGCCTTGTCTGCGGCCATTGACGCCCAGGCAACGATGGAATGAAGCGGTTGAGAATGACTTGCGCGAACGTATGGCACAATGCATCACATCATTTCTACCCTCCGTGTCAGTAGTAGTGACGTGTCACCATGGCTGAGACTTGAAGATGTTGTCTGACTACAAGCAATCTCGGGCTCGCTGCCCCGGCCGCGGCATGTGCTGCCATTATCCGTCCAGCACAGAGTACTCCGTAGCCTGTCCCTGGTGCACATTTCTCATCGATTCCTTTTACTACCTCATCCATGACGCACTGCGCGTGCCCCTTGTTGTGTCAACCCTGACTCCAAGCGTGGCAGAGAGATGGGAAGCCGACCTGGCGGTACGAACGAAATACCAGGTTCGACAGGATACGGGGTGAAAATTATGAAAAACATCTTCGCTGAACCAAGGCAGTGAGTGAGTGACCTTGGTTGTGCGGCTACAGCCAGCGGTCTCACCAACCAGAGGGCCTGCAATGAAGGGCTTACGCGAGAGGATATGACTGGTTAAATGGTGTGTCTGCAGGCGAGGGTGCTGTTTAGAGGCAGACCCAGCCTTGTAACTATTTCTTTTCCTGCAGCACCGGTCAGACTCTGGGCATTGAGACGACAACCTGCCTCGCGCGTTTTGACGGCCTCTGGTGAGGACGTTGCAAGTGAGCTGGCTGTAAAGATCAAAGCTCACTTCGAAATTCGAAGGCGGTCAGGGCCTGCATGCTGTACGTTGAGCTGGCTGCCTCCTGAAACGCCGTCATCAATCTGCCCTCGCTGTCTGCCTTGTTGGAAATATCTAGAATGCATGCTTGTACTAGTCAAGCCAAGCTTGCTTGGTCATTGACTTATGCTTTCCGGGGCTATCCTAATCATCCAATGACAACTAATTGCCCCTATTTCTATCTTGTCCCGGGCCCGGCCGGCGGGTGCGATGCCCAGACAACGGCATATTCCATGTCATCGAGCGACAGGGGTCGAGTGGTAGGTTGTCTCCCCTGTTTTTTCAGCGGCCCAACGTTGAAGCTTTCCTCGTGGTTACGGCGTAATGACAGAGCGATTACGGAGTACAATCCAGGGACCTGGCCCGGGTTTCACTTGTTTGTCAGGCGAGGCTCAGGCTTCGTCCGTGTTGCAAAGGGGCCTTCTTTCGCTCGCTAGCACGGCTGTGCAAATCTCCACAAAACTGGCCACAATGGCCAAGGCAAGCCTGCGTTGCTGTTGATGGTGCATTGGTAATGCTGCGGAAAAGGGATCCCGACGCGGCATGCTGCAGGTTTCCGCAAGGAATTTCAATCCTTGCAGACTCACGTGCATGCCCTTCCGGCCAGAAGCATGGGGTTTTGCTGTTCAAGATGCCCCTTAACTGAAGCCTCAGCTGTAGGTCGGTACGCGTAACTCGGATCTCAAAGGTTCTGTGGTGTGTCATGTAGACAGGTGTCGGGGACTCGGGGGCGACCTATATGAGGGCATCAGGACTTGGTCATTCCAGTGTCCAGTGCTCATGACCTTGTAGTTGGACACAGAACTTTTTATTTTCGACAAGGTATCGATCAACTACCCGTGAAGAAAATATCAAGAACTCTGTCGATCGTGTCGACACGTGCGGAACAACGCAACAGGCTACGCGCCGTTGACTTGACAAGTTGGAGCTATAACCTGCCCAAATCAGTACCTAGACACATGAATGATGTAACAATGGACAAGAATAACGTTATTCTGTCCCTCGGCGTTTCAGAATAGCCTACAGGTCAATTCTCACGTGTCGATAGCGCCCGTTCAGGGGATCTACCTACCCAGCACCTCGGAACAGGCTCAACGACTGACACAAGCTCTGTACACGCCCACCTCGGCAGATCTCATTAGATCACTAGTCCGTATTCGCACGAGCATCATTGCTAAGCAGGGCAGTCAACTTGCAACGTCGATGAATAGCCTCGGGCTGCGACGCCATCAGGCTTCAAACCCGTCGTGGTGGTGGTTCGAATCCGAACCCCCCAGAAAAACAGTCAGAGCAGCGTGGGCGTGATTGATGAACAAGTCCGGGGTAAAGAGACAATGGTTTGATTCACACTCACACCCCCGCGACGGGCTTTGCATTGTTCGGAAACGCTCTGGGGCCTTTCCGTGGTCAGGATCATCTTCCTCCCCTACGGCGCCTTAGTCAAGAAAGAACTGCTGTCCGACGATTCGTTTGTCGGGATTCGAGTTTGATAAGACCCAGGAATATGCAGGGACAACCGGTTGGGCTATGTCCATGGTGCAGGGGCACCTAGTCGCGCAGGGCGGAAGAGGAGTACTCCGTACTCCGTATTAGTTCGGAGTAGGCAGAGCTGGAAATAAAACATTGCGCGCCGTGCCATGCCACCGACACCCACAAATCTAGCACCCTGGTCGTGTCTCCAATGCAAGCGCTTTCTTTCCCCAGACTTTTCTTTTCACTTCTTTCAACAAGATGCCGGATTCTGGAATGTTGGTGGCCCATTTCTTCGCCAAGCGTCGGACCCGGGGGGCAAGTAAGCCACGACAATTTTTTCTCTTCTTTGTTGGATAGGGCCGACACCCTGGTCCCCAACCAGGAACCAACGATGTCGAGAAGAAGGGAACGAATGGACATATCCATCAAATGTGACCTTGCGTCTCGCTCGTGAGAAGGCTCGTGGCCTCGTGTCGGTGGACTCCGTTTACACTTTGAATCTTTTGAAACAAGAAATCAAGCAAGTAAGACTGACGGCCCAGGCGGGCCAATGTTGCTCCAACACATTTCCGCACTCGGTCAGGCATTTCCTTGGGGGCGAGAACAACATGAAAGGGATGGTTCCAGCCTTGGAGGGCCAGTTGGCTTCTGATGTGGGTGACTCTGTCTGGTCTGTAATGATGAGTCCCTGCGTGGGCCCCAGCTGAGCCTCCGCCGCGATGAGTCAAGCATGTACGAGGTTCCCTGGCAGACGCTGCGTTTGCTCTGGAAAGGTTGCGTGTCGCTCGTGTACTCGGTCACCCGGCACCTGGGTGTGGTTGGTTGTTGGCAACTTGGGGACGGGCGCGGAGTAATACGTACTTCAGTAGGTAGTACCTACCTAGGTACTTCTTAAGTAAGGTAATTAAAGGCAGCCAGGAAATGAAGCTACGTACCTGCGTGACCGACTGATTGGCAGGCGTTCACGTCCGGTCTGGCGCAAACACCTGGGATCTTGCTTCTGTCAAGGGCGACGTGTCGTGTGTTTGCAGCCCCAGATTGCAGGTGTTTGTGCCAAACGAATAGAGCCGGCGGCGGTCAGGCCCCTACTTGCTTAACCAGCTGCTTCTTTAGGACCGGTCAAGGGTCTTTTGGGTCCTCTGGGATCCTTTTTGCGGGGGGGAGTGGCTGATGTGACTTTTCTCTTTGGAGGGTAATGTTGGAGACGGGATGAATTTCGAGAGAGCTTGGGGGCTGGCGCTGATGCTGATGCTGATGCTGGAGCTGATGCTGATGCTGATGCTGATGATGCTGACTGACATTGGTGTGTTCAACGGACCTGATACCATTGTCCGGAGTCCACACCAGGTGGAGGGAGGGCAGAACTTGGCAACTTGCGCGGTTGCACCTGCCGTTGCGAGTCTGCGCATCCATCTTCCAAGTACCTTGAGTAGGTACGTACTCAAGTACGTAGGCTCGTAGGCACGTTAGTAATTCGTTACCAAACCCCCAACCAACCTCGGAGACAGCCAAGTACGTAAGTATAAGTACTTAAGAAGTATGTTACCAATTAATCCGTAAATAGGGCCTCATGCACGCATACAGGCGCGCACTGTCCCGGTACTTACCTTTGTACCTGGGGAAGGTTCCCCGGTACTTTGGTCTGTGCTCTCAGTCTCGAGCAGTCATTTGTGCTCATCGACACCAGCACCAGGACTCGAGGCGCAGGAATGCAATCTGTGATGCCATTTCCGTTTCATCGCTGAACACGGTGCTTTCAGGCACAGAAAAGAGCCCACGGACTTCCCCTTCCCCGACTTTAGAATGCACCGCAGCCATTGTCTCGCAGCAGGCACACGTAGGCATTCAATCACCGCAGCCCGTATGCGGGCGGCGCAAATTGCAGAAACGTTGCCATCCATGAACAGGATCGGGACGCTGGGCACTCGGAACAGCCAGGCCCGGCTGGTTACATGTGAGGCACGCTGGCTCATGTCGATGAACATTGAAGCCTTTGGGGCAACAAGCAGCCCTGGGTCCCTGAACGGCCTGTCAATGCCAGGTCGACTGCTAGACCCACGCCCCCAGGTCCGCCTCCTCCTGTTTGCGCCAGGCCCAGCGTCTTCCCGCCCTATTCTCCTTCCTCCATCAATGCTCTTTCCCATTCGACCTTTTGATGCCATTCAACCTTCTGTGTCCCAGTGTTGCGTCGAGCATCAATGCTGCACATGTTGCACTCCCCCACCCCCATCCCGATTCCGACATGGAGTCCTCCCATCCCCGTCCAGATGTCGGTCCGCTCCACGTCCGCCTCTCGGCTTAAAGTTCCCAAATTCCTATTCCCTTCCCTCGGTGCAATGTCTGTTCGCTTGTTGGCCCCGTCTTAGCCCTGCATGCCATTGTCTGACAGGCCAGCGATTTTTCCTCTTCTTTCTCCTCCCTTCCCTTTTTTTTTTTTTTTTTTTTTTTTTTTAAATCCTTCTCCCTGGACATAAATCCACCGCTCCCCGGCCCAGGCTTCTCTACTCCTGCTGTCTTCGTTACAACTTCAACTTGACACCGGACACGCTCGCTTAACCGCCATTTATACCAAGCTTTAGTCTCTCTGCTTTGGCTTTCAGCCTCTTTGCTTGCCACAAGACACGGCCTGATAACCCCTCGGCTCCATATCTCCATCTCACCGGCGTCCATCATCAGAGTTCGTGACCCACAGATTAACCTGTCACGTAACCATCCCGCTCCCCCGTTGCTCGGTGAGCTGTTTGGATTC